TGAAGGAAATGGGTGTGTATGTGTGTATGGATGTTGGTAGGTGGGTGCAAGCTCCAGATGGATTGATGAATCTTCAGTCAGTTGGTAGAGGAGGAGAAGGACATGCTGTCCCAGGCGAGTCTTCTTGACATTATGAGATTTTTTGTGGAGAAATGCTGGTCTCAGGCAATGCAGTGGACAAGGCTCAATCAAAGCTATGAAGTCTGCACTGAGTGCTGATGTTCTGACTTCTAGGACACTGTTGAGAGGGTTCACTTGGAAGGCAAGGAAAAACTGAGTATGTCGTATTGTTTGTAGTTTGTAGCTCTGTCAGGAAAAACTGAGTATGTCGTATTGTTTGTAGTTTGTAGCTCTGTCTGAGGATGGTACAGGAATGCTTCTGTGTTTCAAATCTCTATTGTACTTGGTGCATCACTGCTCTGCAGAACTAACCATACCTTGTGGATACTTGACTGTGACTTTTTAAAAAAGACTTGTACTACATCAAGTTGGCCCTGAACTTAAACTTTTAACAATACTTACTTCAATTTCTCACTCTATGTGTTGAGATTCCAGGCATGAGCCATGATGCCAGCCTCCTGATTGTGGATGGGTGAGAGAAAGGGAGTATTCATCACTAGGAGGGAAGAGCTGCTGTGCAGCTGTCTCCACATTTGTGAATCTGAACAGGCATGGGAATGAGTGGTGATGAGCCATTTTAGAGTGGGCAAGAGAATGCCTGGTATCTTTGGTGTGTTCCTAGAGGAGCATCATACAAATACTGCTCTCTCATCCTTAGTATCTCATAGAACATTGCATATAAAAAGTTGACTGATAAATTTGCTACTGGGTGTACCCTTCTTGATTAGTTCCTTTCTGTTTTAAACAGATCTGTAGTCTCATCCATGTTACCAACTACTGAACTGAAATAGGCATATATTGTCCATCTGATCTTTTGGTAACATCAGGTCACAGGGATTATTTCAACAGCTAACATAAGCACTATTGTTGCTGGCTTGGGTTCAAACTATGTCTTGTGATCTGGATGACTCTTTAGAGATTCTATCAAGTTAAAATTAGAATACTTATTTTAAGAAATGCATGCAAGCTGATACAAATCCCCCTGGGTCAGAATAAATGGCTCTTGATAATTTAGAGATAATTGTACCAAACTTGTTTTTTAAATTCCTAGCTGGTGATTTTGTGTATAAACCCAGGATATGTCAGGAAATCACCTTATTATTCTTGTCATAATCTGGAGTCAAGTCAGTGTTATATTCTCATAGTTCCTACTGAATGAAATTCCCATACCCCTCTTAAGTCTCAAAAGACTGACAGTATTTCCTTTTACTTAGAACCTTACTCTTACTTCATTTTGACAAATGACCAAAGGATAGGAAATGATTTCTAAATCATTCCTTGGATAGTCTGCTATGTAGCTGGCATACTAAAATATAGGTGAAAAATCACCTAAACTTTTGTGGCCAGTGTAGGACCCAGACAGTACTCCTCATACCAAGATAGTCCTACATGATTTCCAAGAACATTCTCTGCTATGACTGTCTAACATAAAACTGCCAAGTTTGTTCTCATTTCCATTCCTGAGCTGCAGTTTGTTTTCCATCTAGCATTGCCTTCTCACCCCTCTGCCTCCATCACTCTTCACCAGTCCTTAGGTTGGCCCAGACCAACACAAGCACCATCTCTAAGATGTTCTCTTGGTCTTGCTCTCTACTGCTATCCATTTCGATAGTGATTATGTATATGGCAGTTCATCTACCTACTGAAGTACGTAAGAGTCCTGACTCCATACTGCACCAAAATAAGGTTGGCCTGAGGCCTTGCACCATTCTTCCTTCTTTAGTGCTTTTCTCTACTCCAAACTCCTCAGTCTTCAGAGGCTATTTCTTGTCTTCCCTTAAATAATCTTCCCCAATTAGCATTTTAGGAAAGCTGCTCAAATCCTACATTTTGATTGCTTTGTTGCCAAAAGCTGTGGTCATTATGCCATGCTATTTTTCACAATCCTGTTTATCTTATTGTAACAAGAAATTCATTACCTTAGGTCAGAAAGGCAATATCACCCATACCTCAGACTCCTTAGAACAGTGGTTCTCAGCCTGTGGGTCAAGACCCCCTTGAGAGTTGAAGAACCCTTTCACAGTGTCATATATCAGATATCATGCATATCAGATATTTATATTATAACAGTACCAAAATTATGAGGGAGCAATGAAAATAATTTTATGGTTGGGGGCCACTACAACATGAGATTAAAGGGTCTCAGCATTACAGAGGTCAAGAACTAATGCCCTAGTATCTTAGCATCTACTTCAGACAAGCTTATTAAGTATTTAAGACTGCTTTGTCTATAAAACAACTATCCATTGGATTCAGTTTTTTTTCCCTCTATTAGGGTAGAATAAGTGAAGATATTTTGAAGGAAGAGGATCTTTTCTTTATTACAAAAGGTAATAGTAATTTAGCTAATGAGTATGGGAAACATGGATTTGTGAATATGGAGAATGAAACACAGGCCTATGCTAACTCCAAATGCCATTGGTGTTGACATTTAAGAGGAAGACCATGGTCCCCAACATGAATCCAGGGAGTTTGTGGGCAGGACCTGAAACTGGAATGTACATTCCTGCTTATAGCAGAGGACTGGACAGTCTATGAGGATGGGTTGGATCATTATGTCCTTTTTCCACATGCAGCTTGAAGTCCCATTTTACAGACTGAGATAAGGAGAGCTACTGGGGAGGCCTTAGATGATTGATGCCTAGCACAATCTATACATGGGCCACTGTGGACCTACGATATGCCATTATTTTTCCTTTCTCCCCAAACTCTGTATAAACTTTATCTTTCTAAGTAACAGTCTTCAGACAATTGGTGCTAAGTAATTTCCCTACTGGTCACTTCTATTGCAGAATCCTTGACTACACCTGACATATTCCTTTTTCTGCTTAGATTGGCTGTCCATAGGTGGGGATTAACAAATTAACAAACAGTGCCTTGTAATCCTGAAGGTATTATAGAATAGCTCGTCCTAATAAAGTGCATTGGCTCTGAGACCAGTTAGTCTGAGTTAATCACAGTCTATTCAGTAACCAGTCATGCGATTGATCCTTGACAATTTCTTTAACTTTAAGCCTTTGTTTCCCTACATAGTTGTTTTAGAAATTAAATGAGGTATGATGCAAATGCTAAAAAGAGTCTAGCATATGTACTTCAAAAATGTGTCAGCTGACTCCCTGTCTGTGAACTATCAAGACAAGTAGGTTAGAAAGGATAGTTACTACCTAATGTTTCAGTATATTTTAATTATCTTTGCTACCAAGTTATAACAGTATGGCATTTATATGAAGTACAGGTTAGTGAAAATGTAAATGTTAGTATGTAGGTTGAGATTTAGTGGCTGGCTAATACAAGAAAGTAAAATTAGTGCTATGGCTTCAAGCAGGAAGTTGCATCAGGAGTGGCAAATTATAAGACCTATGCTTCCTTATGTGAATTTTCTTGCAGTTTCTACTGTTAGGATTAGACTGGGCCTGTCACCACCCCTGTAACACACACGCACGTGCACACACACACACAAGTATCAGATCTCTGAGACAAAATCCCTCATCATCACTGTAATATTTGAAAATGATTACTTGAATCCTGCCTATTTTTCTCAGGTATTGTCCTATCCTTACTTCCTGCAAAAGCCTCTTTTGAAAGCCTACCTGTATTGCCTTGGAATTTCCATAGCTCTTAATGTCATTGTGGCCCTGGTGGCCCTGACTTGCTTCCTTACACTGAATATTTTTATGTGACCCACCTTCATGCATGGACAAAAGCTTCTTATGGACATAAATCAAACATAGTGCTTGGGATATAATAGTTACTTATTTAGGACCTTAGGATTTCTATCCATTTAAGTATAGAAAGTGGGGAAGATAGATGGGATGGAGAGAAGGATGGAAAGAAAAAGACCCTATGTGTAAAATAAAGAGTTTGAGATATCATGCATCTGTTTTCAAAAGAAGAATGAGGTGGACTAAGCAAACCTTGAGGAGCAGCTTTGTCAGTTTTACTTTTCTTCCATGATCACAGAACAGTTGTGATCTGTTGTGGGAACTGAACTCACGTCCTCTCCAAGAATAGTACATGCTTTTATCCTCTAAGCCATCTCTCCAGTCCCAATCTACAGGGTTTTAATATACCTGCCACTCAAGAAACATCACAACATAGTAGGGTGACTTTAGATAATAATGTACTATATATTTTTAAAATGCTAGGATTTTCAAAGTTTTCACTAAAGGGATATGATACTTCAGGAAATGTATGAGTATACTGATCTAATTATGCAACATACATATATATGCTGGACATTTATATATATCCAAACTCTACATATATCAGAAGACTACATTACCCTTTAAGCAAGTATTTTACTACTTAATGTTTTGGCAGGTTAGAAGAGATAGCTCTCATCTATTCCCAGTTGAAATTGGAACCAGGCCACAGATTTGTCAAAGATATCCCACGTTTCCAGTTCTTCTGTAAACTGGCAGGCTACAGACAACATGGTTCTGCTGGCGGGAGTTTTTACTTCTCAGAGAGGGTAACCACAAACAAGCACATTCACAAGGCAATCACTTGACTTCCATTGATTAAATAAAATCATATGACCATGTTTAGTATGAGGTAGGAAGGTCATGCTACCTGTTGATTAAGGGGAGAATGCACACTTACTGTTCAGTAACTTCACCAAACATGGATATCGACTGCTTCTAGTTTGATTAGAAGCAATGCAGTTACAACACTGCAAATACATCTCTTTAGGATGTGTGCCTAAGAGCTTAGCTCCTGGGAGGTCGAGCATGAGCATTATCAGAGTGTCTCCTATTCTTACAGTATAGTTTTCTTTCCAAATGCTACCACGGGATGGAAGGTGCACAACTGAGGCTACATATAGAAAAAAGTGCTGATGCTTACAATCCACTCACCCTTTCTACCTGTTCATTTGGCAGGTTTGGTGCAAATGCCAAGGTTGTGCACTTCCTGGGACAAATCAAGCCATGGAATTATACTTACAGTTCCCAAACAAAAAGTGTCAAATATGAATCTCAAGACCCAAGTGTGAGTCACCCAGAGTTTCTAAACCTGTGGTGGGACATCTTCACCACCAGCGTTTTACCCCTGCTCCAACACTATGGCCTTGTCAAAGATGCCTGCTCCTATCTAATGATGGTAGGTTTTGTTTGTTTTCACTTTTATTTCAGGAAATTCAGTGCTGTACTTTTAAAACTTGATATTTTGATAGAATTCAGCAATTCACAGTATTATTTTAAGTAAAGGTCGGATCATGTGGGTTAAAGCTATGGCCATCTTAGAGCTTGGAAATGATAATAGCACCTAAAGCAGAAGTAGATTGTGTGGGAAATTTCAATAAATACATGTTTTCAGAATTATTCTATATATCCATACATTGTAACTATAGAATTCTGATGGTTAGATGATTCCTAATATTGTAAATCTATACAAGGAAAGAGTGCTTAGGCTAGGCATGTAGCCTAGTAAGGAAATGTTTACACAGTATGTGAAAGCCCTACCTTCCATCTCCAGCACTGGGTGGGAGAGGTGGGGGAGAATGTCACAGTTATGACTTAGAAGCCTCAAACTTTTAACTACATCTTTTATTTACCTGCTTAGAAAAATAGATTTTGTATGAAAATTACAATAGGAATATATAATAAATAATAAATACTGTAGGAATATCCTAATTTCCTGTTTTATTCTCATAAGATCTTGAAATGATCCCTTTCTGGGAGGCACATAACACTTGTAAATTTTATTATAACCACCTTCATTAGCATGTTTTCTGATTTTAAAGGTACTAAAGGTTTGTTCTTCATGGTGAATTGGAAGAAGATGAAGAATGTTATTTTACATATTGAATTACCAAAAACAAAAAACCAAATCAATAAATGAGGTGTAGTATCCAATATAGGCATCAGAAATGGAGAAATAAATAGCATATTCTCAATCAGTTCTATATCATAATACCTATTCACAGCAAGGGCTAGCAACATAGTAATTTCTTCTCTGCTTAATACAACTAGTTCATTCAACTGAAGTTATTGTTAATATCCCCCCTTCTCTGTAGGTAAATGATAAGGCTTAGAGAAGTCTGGGATTTTACTCATGTAAAAGGTTATGGTAACAACTAGGACTCAAACCCATGTTTGAAAGACTATAATCTCTGTGAGAATTTATCTCTAGAGCCAATAATTAAATATAATATTTGATTGCAGAAGAGGGAGAATTTTTTTAATTGAATAATCCATTTGGTTAGCTCCATAAGCTTGACCTTTGGGACGTGTCTCATAAAGGCTGTGAGGTAGAAAATGATAAGTGACCATGTCTTTAACACCCATGTAGAAGGCAAAGGCAGGGCTGATCTGATGTCCATGTTCTTGCTTTACCTGCACTCTGATTTTGCTTTGTGCCTAAACTCCTCAGAGCTTTAGAACATTTCCGTACATGGATTAATGGTTATTCACGTCAGTAAAAACCCTATACCGAAACTCCTTGGAGTTTAAGTACATTTAAATACTCATCTATAATTTTACACATCAGCAAAAAGCCTTTAAAATCTTGGGAGTTTCAATATATTACACACAGTTCTAACATTTATTCCAGTAAAGCAAGTATAGAAAAATTATTCTACCATTTTTTTTTTCTGTTAAAAGCATTGCCTATTTTTATTCATTCTTCTTACAGTAAGAGTTCCAGTACGAATTCAGCTTGGGGTTTTTGAATGTCAGCACAGACTGTCTTTTATGGTACACTTAGTTGATTGGCAAGCCATACGCAATAAAAATCTAATTTAAGGTAGAGTGTATTTGTGGCATGTCCCCTTCTTTCTACAACACGAGAGCAGAGAATTTTAAGTCAAGAAAAGGTGAAGATGGGAAACAAAAACAGTTGTATAAAATCAAGCAAATTATCAGATGCTGCAAGAATAAATGCAACTTGCAATCCACATGAAAGCTTGAACAGGAAAATTTGGTACAGCCTCAAACCACTTAGCTTTCCTTCATAAAAACAATGACTTGAGTGTGCACTGTCTCTCTCTGGGTAAGTTCTCTGTGAAGCACAGTATCTGAGGAATCATTTTGTTTAAGTTCTCAACCTTTCCAAGCCCACATGGATCAAGAATTTATTGAGATTTGTGTTCCCTTGTCCGTCCATCTTACACTTTCTACTGAACTGTTTGCAGCTTTCAGACTTGGTCTATACACTGGCTTTCTCTTGTGGCTTCTGTAGAAAGGTATGCAGAACTTAAACATTAACCCTAATTACTGTGTTCTCCCAATGTTTTCACCAAGTCAAGAAGTCTTCATTTTTTAGGGGAAAAAAAAATCATATTGGCCCTGTATTCTTGTCTTTTGTTTGTTTGTTTCATGTAATACTTTTCAGTTTTTGCATGATGACTCATTTTGGCTTTTCTCATGTTCTGTTTATTGCATTCTTTAAGTTCATCAGAAATTCAGCTCTTAAGGTACCTCTGATGACTCTCTCTTCTAGGAGCATGTCTCAGGAGCTTTGTCACACCTGTCCATTGGGGAAACTCCAGCTACAACACAGCCTTCTATGTCCTCAGAAGAAAGGAAGGAACGGTGGGAACAGGGCCAGGCTGATTACATGGGAGCAGATTCTTTTGATAACATCAAGAGAAAACTTGACACTTACCTACAATAGAAGCACTGCCATTTCCCAGTGGACACACCCACGTCTTAGGCACATTTCTGATACTTAGTATGTGAAGCTGGTTGAAAAGTCTGTTATAGTTGTTAGAGGCTTTCAACAAATCTCCTCAGATGAAGGTTTGGGCAGGATAAAAGGTGACAACTGGTCAGACATTATGAAGTATATGGATAAGTGCTGTTTAATCCTAGACTTTTTCAGGAATTCTTTAATTCTTCAGTTGCCCACATGTATGGTAAAGGAAAGCCAGCATTAAGCTACTACGATGGTTCTCCAAGTGGTGCAGAACTTGACTGTCCATCTGTCTCATTTCAAACAAGATATGACACTGTCCCATATTTGCTAGCTGTTCCCTTCATTAGACCTGCAGTTCAGAGTTGCCCAAAGCCTGTCAGAGGGTCAATTCTATTTCCAGGCTAAAGCAGCCTTTATTAACACTGTGGAGTGATTAATAAGCCTACCAGCTACTGTTAGTTCACCAGTTTTCTATGCACCATGAAGGCAGCATGCAGGTTCACTTTTTTTTTTCCAGTTCTGTCTACTTGAAAATTGCAGTGTGCTCTCTGATGGTTACCTATGGTGGCATTATATAAAATAAAGACTTATTGACATATCTTGGTTGTTTAAGTACTTCTCTACCTCACGCTTGAAAAAAATTATTCAGTAATTTTTCAAAATTTGTGCAATTGCTCAATTTCAAAACTACAAATCTTCACACTGGTATATGCTTTAAAAATTATCTAAGACATTTAAATCTATTCTCCAGTGATGGTAACAGATATGATCAGTAAAGAAAAGTGAAATAAAAGGTACCTAGTCTATCATAATTACATCCTTGGTGAGTATTCAGAGAGCTTGACTCTTAAAAACCTTAAAATTATGAGGCCATATCAGTAATTAGTATACTCAGTAACCTTTCAGAATTATCTGACTTAGTCGTGGCCCAGTGATCTCTAGTCTTTTATAATTAAAAACAAACAAATATAAGTTTGTTAGATTTCTGGGTGCCTGAATCTATGCATTCATTCAGTCACCCGAGCAATGACCCACAGCACCAATAGAGTATAGGCTGCAATGAGTGGCAAGCTGTGAAGCATGGGGCCGAAAATAATTTTTTATAAACAAAACAAGGTAACACATGTAATTAAGCTGAAGAAAATAAGAGAACATATATGGGAAAAACAAGATTTTATAGTTCTTATCTTCTTTTCTGTAATATCCTGTAGATATCAGTCATTCACACTCTGTGTGGCTGACTGAATTCACAAGGGTTTGGATACCTTAAGACAAGAATGACTAGGAAGCAACTCAAAAGCTGTAACAAGAAATCCTTAACTTACTTATTTAAATTATAATAGTGATAAAATATCTGAGACACTTGGACTGGTAGATAAGTTGCTATGGTCTTCTAGTAAAAGAAACATTTACTAAAAGGACTGAAATGACCCTGCCACTCGTCAGATCATATAAGGGAATCACAAACCTCTTCGAGGTAATTTGGTTAAGTCATATGCTTCTCTTCCTTTTTGGCTTCTGAGTCTACTAGAAATAAACAGAATCCCACCTCTATTTTTGTGGCCAAGCAATATGTAATCCAAATAAAGTGTATAGGAAACAATATGACTGGAAATATTTTTTTAATTTAGAAAAGATTTATAAACATCAGATTCTGTGAAATCAAGCACTGAATTTTTGGTCATTCTTTATTTTTGTTTTGTTTTGAAGACAGGGTTTCTCTGTAGCTTTGAAGCCTGTCCTGGCACTCACTCTGTAGACCAGGCTAGCCTGAAACTCACAAAGATCTGCCTGCCTCTGCCTCCTGAGTGCTGGGAATAAAGGTCTGCGCCACCACTGCTTGGCCTCCTTGTCTATTTTTAATACAGTGTAAGAAGTTAAGGTTTAAGGTAAAAAAGTTTATATGATAATTAGATTTTACATATTGGGTTTTTAGTGAAGTCTGTTGACATTAATAGAGTTAGAAACAGTACATAGCACAGAAAGTATAAGGTATACCAAGCCACATGGCTGCAGTGTCACCAAGTAGTCTACCATTTCTTTGGTAGGCTTCATCTTTCAAAAATGCCTTGAGTAAACCTTACTGAAAAAAATCTTACAAAATTGTTTCCAGAACGCTGAACTCTCAAAATACCAACAAACCCCTGAAATTTTATACGATGTATAAAAGAGGCAGTAACTCAAAATATAAGGTGGACATTTATGGAAGTGATCAATATGCCCTTACATCAATATCCCTTTATGAGCAATGTACTCACTGGTAAAAAACTAAATAGGATTATTTATAATCTTAAATGTTTAGTTTTTAAGGACAAAATCTATAATTTACCACACATAGTTATTATAACAACTCCTATTGTTCTTAAAATGAGGAGATTAAATGTAACCCAGTATTTCAGATCAGTGTATTTTATATAAACTTCAAATATATACCAATATCTGAAGGAGAATTTCAATAGGTGCACAAAACTTACATGTGGTGAGTAAATTACAGTAACAGTACTTTTAAGTGATTCAATAAAAAAAATGTACAACGAACATGTTTATAGAAGTGAGACTTTTTTGTTAAAAAGAAAATAGTCACTAAATGATGACACCAAGGAAGGTAAATTTTTTTAGCTTTTTATTGAGTTTAAATTTAAAGAAAAATCCAATTTGAAACAATTAGAAATACAATATTTTCAGTATATTTTTAAGTAATAAAATAGCATAGCACAAATATTTTCATTCCAGTGGTTTATACATCTTGAATTAACTTTGTATTAATACCAATTAATATACTAAAAAATTACTTGATAAACCTGATTGCTATGAATCCACTTCTGAGCCTGAGTTTATCTGTAATTAAAATAGGTAAGGTGGGTTTCTTTTTTGTTTGCGCCAGAAACAGTTTATACTTAATTTCACTGTGTGGGTACTACAGAACCATAATTCCATATGTGATGAGACTGGATTTGTGGTCTTACAAGGTGGAAAATCTCCCATGGGTCTCCTAACCCTAGCAGGCCAATTCACTTACACTCTGATAGAAATGTTTTCCTGAAAATCATGCCTACCTCACCTGTTACTATGAGAAATGGAACCAAGAAGATTCTTGCTGGCTAATCCTGTTCCCTTGGAGCAATAACAGGGTTGGGGAGGATTTGGGGGGTGAGCTATATGTAATACACCTTAGAAGGGTACCTATCATCTCTTTCAATTAAGTCTCTTGTAGCACAAATAAAATCTCAGATATTCTTCCATCTGTACCATAAACCATGAAGAATTTCTTAGTAATTTCTTATCTGGATTTTAAAGAATCCATAGGAAAATAAAATGACTAGTTATATACACTGATTGCTTATTTGTTGTAAGATGACTCAAAGTCATCTATAATTCTGTGGCAACTAGTAAGTTTTCTTATTAGCAAAAGGGGTAAGAAAAATGTATGGATCAATTAGTTAAATTCCAAAATTCTGATTTAAAACACACAAAGCCATTTTTACAAAATTCAGGACTGAGATGTCTTTAAGAGTTGAAATGACTTTTGGTCATCCAGCCCAACTTCCATCCTAATTATCACACCTCTCACATATAATAGTAGTCTTCTGTATTATGAAAATTTATAAAGTTATTTCCAAAAGCCCTACACAAATAAAAACAATTTACAGAAGTATATATTTAAATCAAATTATTTAAGTTTTCAAAACAAACTGGGTAGAACTGGTTCTCTCACCTCTACAGACTATTTACGGTTTGTGATCTATCACTACATTTAAATAATGAATGTAGCACCACTTCATTAAAACGAATACACAACTTTGATGAGGTCCCTAATTTTTTCTAAAGACATTCTGCAAATCACATATATAAGTTATATTTCAATGAAGCTATAAAAATTACAATTAACTTGCTCCCTTGAACTTTGGTCTTTCATTTAAGTTTTGGTTATGGATATAACTATAGCTTTTGAACATCCAATAAAATCTTTCTTATAGTCTGTATACATACTTGTTAATAATTTACAAGGATGGTAGACCCACTGAATCACCAATTAAAGACTTTGGTGAATAACCTAATATTTCCATCAAAGAAAAACTAACCTTCTGGTCAAAACTATGACCACACTTCAGTATGAAGATGTGGAATACAGGAAAGATGTAGGAAAAGCTGGAGAGCAAAAGAACTTCTATGACAACCTCCTTCAGGCCATTTTGCTACTGAAAGTTATCATTAAAAATAAGATTCATATATAGAAGAAATATGTCAGTAATACCACTTTATTAATAGAAAAAAATGCTCTATATAGAAAGAATATGTTCTAGACCTCATTCTTAAATCTGTATTTGTCATGTGTAAAACTTAGGCATCTGTTCAACCCGACCTTACAAAAGTCATACAAATTATAAATCAACTAAAGTTCTGATTTCATTTATTTTAGCTTGTTTTATTTCATTAGCATCTGGTTTTTTAGTTCCAAAAGCACCAGCTGCAAGTTCTCTTTTTGTGCTTTGTATTTTCAACATATTTTCTTCGACAGAATCCTTTACAATGAACTTCAAGAAGAAAAATGAATGAAGTTGGTTAAGAACTTTACAGATAACAAAATAAAGTTTTTTTTTTAAAAAAAAATCTTTAAAAAGAAAATTAGACTATTCCTGAGCTGCTCAAAGGATTAACACACTAACAACACTGCCCACTAAAATCCTATAAACATACCACTTTAAAAAAATGTATTTCAGCAATACCCACATTTAAAAGTCAAATGATTATATAAGCATACGTACTTTGTGTGTGTGTGTGTGTGTGTGTGTACATATATATCCTTCAGGTCAGTTTACAATGAACTTATTGCTATTTCAAATATTAGTTTTTAATTGATTTTTATTGAGTTCTACATTATTTAAGTTTAGGCATGGAACAATATGCTAAAAATTTCAATGTTGTGGAGGTAGCTGGCAAGTTTCTAGGATTCACTGGCCAACCTGCTTACCCTATTTGGCAAGATCCAGTCCAGTGAAACCAATCTCAGAAAAAAAAAGAAAAAAAGCAGGAGGAGGAGGAGAAAGAAAAGTACATGGTGCTTGAGAGGCAACAACCTAGGCTGTCCTCTGGCCTCTGCATGCACAAGTGTTTAAGAGGTTGGATGATCCTCTGGGGCTGGAGGTGGTTCTAAGCTGCATGGTCTGGGTGATGTAAACCAAGCTTGGGTCCTCTAAAGAGCTGCAAGCACTCTAACTGCTGAGCCATCTCTACAGCTCCCAACACAAACAAATTTTGTAAAAAAGTAAAAAGAATCATAATTATAAAGTATTGTTCTGAGAACAGGAAGACATCAGGGAAGAGAATGGACTAGAAATAGAACCCCATACACATTTTCTACTAGTTGAAAAGGCTATGGACTTTTCAAAACAAAACAAAATTTCAGAAACTCAAAAGGTAAAAGAACAATTGCTTCTTCATTTGGAAAAGGAATAAAATGTAGAAGCATTTCACAAAACACAGAATCTTCCAAAAGGATCATAAGTAAATATAAAATGCAAATAAAGTAACCCCCCTAAGACATTAAGTATAAACAAAGAATGCTTTGACATGAGAAGGTAAAAGGTTATTGTAATGCTCATTCTTCTGTAACCACAGAAAAAAAGGCCTCTGAACAGAGTGTTCAAATAAAAACAGAGCATGTTTAAAAATCAGAACTTTAAAACTTTTCCTTGACAAAAAGCTCAAAATTTACAGACAAGAGCTGGTATAAATCATTTCCAACATACATAATAAACTAAAATAAAATGGAAAAGGAAGTCCTTGACTCTATAAACTATTTGTACTACTGATGTGGGATTGCCCTCTGTATGCTGTGAATATGTTTTATTACCATTGGTTACCAGAACCTTACCGGTAAGCCACATCCTTGTGGCGATACACAGATTACTAGAAATGGGTTAATTTATGATGTAAGAGCTAGCTAGGAATACGCCTGAGCCATTAGCTAAACAGTGCTGTAATTAATATAGTCTCTGTGTGTTTCTTTGGGACTGAATGGATGTGGGACTAGGCAGGACAAAAATTTCTGTCAACATACTACAAGCAGGACAGTAAAGAAGAAATGAACAAGTCATTCATAGAAGCAAGGAACAACCATGAACAGCAGACATGTGAACTGTATTTAATGCCTGTTTTTAAGGTAAATGCAAATTGCTACATGCTCATTAAATTATGACCACATACATTTACACTATTCCATACATCATAAAGACTAATATTATTTGCTTCTTGTTTTGTAATGTTAGTGATCAAACTCGAAGCCTCTATATGCTAGACAAGCATTCTGTTCATGCACTACACCCCCAGTAGCATTACATGGCCTATACTGAAGGCAACTTCAAGTTATTTAAATAGCAATTCTAAATCCACAGGTATAGTTTTGTGAATCTACCCTGAAGAAATACTGGTATATGTGCACAAATATGTATGTACAGCACCTTTGAAGACAACAATGATTTTTTTACAAAGCTTAAGACTGTTTATTCATGATAGATCTGTCTGCAGGTGCTAATGAAGATTCAGAATCACAGATATAAAGCAGAATAGCAGTTTTGAGTGGATGGGTAATGGAGAACAATGGAAAGTGTAAAGGAGTATAAAGTGAATATATAGAGAGTCTATTAGGTACAACAGAGAAGTTCTGTAGATGGATAGTGATAGTGACTGCACCTCATAGAGTATTCATAATACAAAAAACAGTGTGTTTAAAATAATAGATGGAATGGTAAACTGTGTGCATGTTACCCCAGAAAGAAAGTGTCATTCTAATTGGATATAGATAGCAAATCTTCAATGCATGTTTAAGGGAAAAGAATATATTATAAATGATAAAGTATTATCCAATCTTTTTCTCAAATTTTTTTATGTTGAGATATAAACATGACTAAGAATGTATGTAGCTACTGAGAAAAAAAACCTTTGAACATGTTTGGAATTATGAAGTAAGAAACAGGGTGAGTTTTACATTTTCTCCACAATCCTACTTCAATCATGGCAATAATATATTCATATATACCTGTGTTACTTTTAAAAAGCAAACATAATCTTAAAATAGGTAGCTTTAAAAACTCACTTTTGTAATGATAACCTCTTGTTTCTGGCCAAGCCGATGACATCTGTCAAAGCACTGATCTTCTGCAGCAGGGTTCCAGGCCTAAGGAGAAGATGACCATATGATCACTGCTGTGTGGTGTCAGCCTCCTGCACCAATCATTCATCTCAGTATGCTATATTCATCTTTTTCCAATTGAATTCAAATACTGAGATTACAAATGTACCTGGAAGAAAGCTATTTCCCAATCACTATGAACACAGGTAGCCTTCTCCCCATCTGTATTCTATTCACTTAAGCAGTAGTTTAGGATCTTATTGTGGCAGAGACAGCGGGCTGCTTGTTCATTCTGGCCGCCTGGCTAGCTTAGCCCCAAAATAACCACACAGAAATTGTATTAATTAAATCACTGCTTGGCCCATTAGCTCTATCCTCTTACTGGCTAACTCTCACATCTTGATTTAACCCATTTCTATTATCTGTATATTGCCACGTGGCAATGGCTTACCGGGAAAGATTCAGCATGTCTGACTCTGGCGGCTCCATGGCAACTCTCTGACCCTGCCTTCTTCCTCCTAGCATTCTGTTTAATTTTCCCCACCTAACTAAATTCTGCACTATCAACTAGGCCAAGGCAGTTTATTACCCAATGAAAGCAACACAAAGACAGAAGGACCTCCTACACAATCTTATCTGAAATGTTTAAGGCCAGTGTTTTAATATTCAAATTTTCAGATTTTGGAATCTTTGCATAGATCCATAAACCAAAAACCCAAAGTCCAAAACTTTCTTAAGTTTGAGTCAGTCCTCGAACAGATCCAAGTTTTAGAGCATCTCAAAAAGGGATGTTCAACTTGTGCCCAACAAAGGCCTGACAGGCATGACAGCAGCGACATAATGATCTGCCAACTGATCAGAACACCTTGTGATTTTATACATTCTCTCAAATAGCTTAAATGACCACAGAAAAGGTATCATTCTTGGGCCACCCTATGAAAAAGTGTCTTCTCTTTTGCAGGTTTTCTTTTCCCACTGATGAAACACAAATACAAAAAAGTTTCAAGGGTAGTCAAAAGTCCTAAAAGCTCTCAGACTTGTGGATGCAAACATATGTATGTGGAATCACCTGAACTTCAAAACTGAAACTTAAAAGTGCATGAGTTCTTTCTAAGGCTGAAAAAAATGATGAAATAAAGCAATAAGAACACCCAGCTACAGAGTTCTTCAGTAGCAGCCAAATGGAATGGGAGCTCACCAAGGCCAGCTGGACTGGGAGTGATGGAGCATGTGATCAAACTGGACTCTCTGAATGTGGCTGGCAATGAAGGCTGACTGAGAAGCCAAGGACAATGGCACTGGTTTTGATTCTGCTGCACGGACTGACTTTGTGGGAGCCTGGTTTGTTTGGATGCTCACCTTTATAGACCTGGATGGAGGGGGAGGACCTTGGACTTCCCACGGGGCAGGGAACCCTGAATGCTCTTAGGACTAGACAGGGAGGGGGAGGGGGAAGGGGAGGGAAAAGAGGTGGGAAGGAGGTGGAAATTTTTAATAAATAAAATAAAAAGAATGGAAACTGATAAAATAATCATCTCTACAAACCAACCACATAAGATTTGATGTTATGATGGCTCTGGTGTTGCCGGGTGTTATAGCAAGGATCTTAAGTCCACTGCAAAGATTCATATATTATAAGCTTAGTCCTCAGTCTGAGGCATTGTTGGAGATAATGGAGCCTCCACAATATGTGGGGCCTAGAAGAAAGTTAGTTCATTGGGGGAGCACACTTGAATGGAATCTGGGGTTCTAGTTCTTTCCTTTCTCATGCATTGCTTTCCAGTTTGGATAACATACTTGGACATTCTCTATCATGCAACCCTACAATGACTCACAGTACTACCACAGGCACAGAGGAATAGGACCAGTCAACATGAATTGAAACCATGCCCCAGATAGAGCTTTCTTTGTCTAAATTAATTGTCTCATATAGTTTGTCATGGTGATAGAAAGCTAGATAGGATTTTTTCAACTTTATATTGAATCAAATGCGACCACAGTTTATTTGTGGCCCATTATCACCTGAAATGTTATACAATGCATTACTATACATGTAGAATTGAACTCCTGGCCTCTTACCTTATTACTCCTCATTATATAAACTGTTAGAATATCAAGTATCAATACACAACAGAGCAAGTCTTCACAATGAGTTCTTTTTTAAAGACCGTCTGTCTTATTCAGTGTTCTAATAATAAGAAGAGACGCCATGACCAAACCAACCCTTATAAGAAAGCATTTAGGGTGAGTGCAAATGGGAGGGAGTCCCTTTGTTCTAAAAGCCTGCCTGCAGCAAGGTAAGACTGCAGGCAGGGAGACTTCTGACCAGCGAGTGGCTCTGATCCTGTAGCAGAAGATACAATGGAGGGGTAAGTGTGTTCCTGACCGCCACACAAGTCTGGAAAGGGAACACACAATCTTCCCGCCATCCTTATCTCCCTGGCTACTCCAAAGGGGCGGCTTTCCCCAGCTAAACCCTCTCTCCTCCTACGCCATCCCGGCTTTCTGCCCGGAACCCCTACCCTTCCTCTCTCCCTTTTTCGGGGCTTAAATTCCTACAACTCAGCCTGGGTGGGCACCGCGGCCAGAATGGGCTTTGAGTACAAACGGGAGGGAGTTCCTTTGTTTTAATAGCCTGCCTGCAGCAAGCTAGGACTGCAGGCAAAGTGATTTCTGGATAGCAAGGGGCACTAATCCGGTAGCAGAAGACCCAGCGGAGGGAAGAGCCATTGGAGAGCATCTAAAGGAAGAGATGGGCAGGCGCCAAGGCAAGATTCCACCAACAATGTGAAAAACAACATGAAAACACCAGATCCCAGCTATCTTACGACAGAAGGACTTGAACACCCTATTCCGGAAGAAGTGGAAAACAGTGTCATTATGAAAGCAATAGAGTCTCTTAAACAGGGTATGAATAACTCACTTAAAGAAATAGAAGAGAAATATAACAAAAAGATGTGAAGAAATGAGTAAAGAAATGGAAGAGAAATATAACAAAAAGTTTGAAGAAATGAATAAATTGGGAATGATACCCTTGGAAACCAAGAAAAAACAATCAAACAGGTAATGGAAACAGTTCAAGATTTGAAAACTGAAATGGAGGCAGTGAAGAAAACACAAACCGAGGGCCAGCTGAATATGGAAAATCTAGGTAAACAAACAGCAATCAGGAACAAGCATAACCAATAGAATACAAGAGATAGAAGAATGAATCTCAGATTATGAAGACACCATAGAGAAAATAAACGCTCTGACCAAAGAAAACAGCAAATCCAATAAATTCTCATCACAAAACATTCAGGAAATATGGGACATAATTTTAAAAAACCAAATCTAAGAATAATAGGAGTAGAAGAAGGAGAAGAATTGCAGATCAAAGGTCCAGAAAAATATATTCAACAAAATTATAAAAGAAAACTTTCCCATCCTAAAGAACGATATTCCTATGAAGGTTCAAGAAGCATACACAAAACCGAATAGACTGGATCAGAAAAAAACATCCCCTCGCCATATAATAATCAAAACACAAAGCATCCAGATTAAAGAAAGGATATTAAGAGCTGCAAAGGAAAAAGGTCAAGTAACTTATAAAGGTAAACCTATCAGACTTACACCAGACTTCTCTATGAAAACCATGAAAGGCAGAAGGTCCTGGATAGAGGTACTGCAGAAACTAAGAGACCATGAATGCAAGCCCAGACTACTATACCCAGCCAAGCTATTGTTCACTATCAACGGAGAAAACAAAATATTCCAGGATAAAAACAAATTTAAATAATACGTAGCTACTAATCCAGCCTTACAGAGAATATTAGAAGGAAAATCACAACCCAAGGAATCCAACATTCCCAACACTGCCTACAATAACTCAAACATCTAGCGACCCTTCACAAGCACAACTCAAAGAAGGAAAACACATACACTCTACTACTCAAAAAAAATGACCAGAGTCAACAACCACTGGTCATTAATATCACTTAATATCAGTGGACTCAATTCACCTATAAAGAGGCACAGACTTAGAGATTGGATACGAAAACAGGATCCAACATTCTGCTGTTTACAAGAAACACACCTCAACCACAAAGACAGACACCTACTCATAGTAAAGGGTTGGGAAAAGGTTTTCCAAGCAAATGAACCTAAGAAACAAGCGGGTATGGCCATTCTAATATCTAACAAAATCGACTTCAAACTAAAATCAATGAGAAAAGATGGAGACAGACATTTTATACTCATAATAGGAACAATTCATCAGGAGGAAGTCTCAATCATGAATATCTATGCCCCTAATATAAAGGCACCCACATATGTAAAAGAAACTCTTCTAGAACTCAAGGCAGTCAACAAAAAACACACACTAATAGTAGGAGACTTCAACACTCCTCTCTCACCAATGGACAGGTCAATCAGACAGAAACCTAAGAGAGAAATAAGAGAATTATTGGAGGTATTGAATCAAATGGACTTAACAGATATCTATAGAACACTCCACCCAAATAGGAAAGAATATACCTTTTTCTCTGCAGCTCATGGAACCTTCTCAAAAATTGACCACATACTGGGTAACAAAGCAAACTTCCACAGATACAAAAAAATATTAGTAACCACCTGTGTCTTGTCAGATCACCATGGATTAAAATTAGAATTCAACAACAATGCTTCCCCCAGGAAGCCAACAAACTCATGGAAGTTGAACAGTCAACTACTAAATCACCCCTGGGTCAAGGAAGAAATAAAGAAAGAAATTAAAGTCTTCCTTGAATTTGATGAAAACAAAGACACAAAATACTCAAACCTATGGGACACTATGAAAGCAGTGCTAAAAGGAAAGTTCATAGCACTAAGTGCCCAATTAAAGAAAGCGGAGAAAGCACACATTGGAGACTTAACAGCACACTTGAAAGATCTAGAAAAAAAAGAAGCTGATTCCCCCAGGAGGTCTAGAAGACTGGAAATAATCAAACTGAGGGCTGAAATCAACAAAATAGAAACACAGGAAACAATCCAAAGAATCAATGAATCAAAAAGCTGGTTCTTGGAGA